TTCAGGCAGGTGTTCTCTTCATGGCGCCCCTGGACACTTTAGCTTCAGATTCCTGCGGTTGACAGCAAGCCCAGAATTTGCTCTGACCTGGTGAGGGTTACACACCCCGTGGCAAGGACATGTGGTGTCCTTATTGCTCTGTGCCAGGGTACTACCTCTAAAGCACTTGTGTAGAGGATGGCAAAACGAAAAGATGAAATTAATTACAAATCTGAATCAAACCTGTTCATGTCCATTGACAGAAGAGTTGGTATTAGAAGTAAGGCACCCTGACCCCTAGTGGTTAAATTATACCACGACTATTCAGCATTAGACCAAAGAAAACAGAAGGCTATTTATCATACATAACCTTTTTACATTATCTTTTATCAGTTTATTTAAGAGCATCAGCATCCTTCGCTTTTATCCTCTACATTGAGGTATTCATCCATTTGAGCAAATTTTCTTTGACTGTTTTTTCTGTTTTGTTTTTGTTTTTTGTTTTTTTTTTTTGTATACTCCTACTGTCACCGACTTTCTTCATGGGTTCATCTAATACTTGAAAAAAAATATTCCTAGAAAACTACAATAACTGTATGATATCCAGCTGGAGAAGTTTGTTTTGACACCTAATTTATTAGATCCAATCCAAATCACAAGATCCAGCATTGGTTTTTGTGCGCCAGCTGCACATCTTCTGGTTTACAAATTAAAGCCCTATTGTTTTTGTCACGTGCAATGGAAAGCTAACATAAATAACAATATATTTGCCTAATGCATGGTGACTTACCTTTTAAAACTAAGAACACTTATTTACCCTTGCCATCTCAAATAAGAAATAGATGAGTCTGTTTTCAATCCTGTTCCACTAAATTTATCCAATATTGTACATTAAAAATTTTATATATACTTCTTGTCACTTTTCCAGAGGGACTTAAATACATGCATTGTTTCTTATAAAAAGATATTGCTTGGCATACATTTATAAGTACTATGGCTAATTGCTTAGATTATAAGCTAAATCTAAAGATGTGTTCCTGAATTTTTATAATTTTCTTATTTTGTTCCTTCTTAATTAGTCACCGAGATAATAATTCTCTGAATTAGTTTTTATTTATTTGTTTATTTTACTTTTTTGGTGTTACTGAGACATGGTCTTGCTGTAGAGTTCAGGGTGGCCTGAATTCATTATGTATCCCAGTTTGGCCTCGAACTTGCCCCCTCCTGCCTCAGCATCCCCAGCACTGGGACTACTGATATACAGCACCACATCAGGTACTAACTGTGTTATTGTCCACATTTTTTCCTTTAATTTGCACCATGAAGTCTAATATAAAAACTGAAATCTCTCTGAGGGCATACAAATTTTATTCCCCAACCCTTGTCTTTAACTTGTTATATTTATTCTCTATTTAAATATTTGTATTACTATTGTTAATGAAATAAAATTTTTCTTTTGATGTATTCATATAAAGCTGTTAATCAAGGGAGCTCAGTCTGCCTAAGTTTCACTTTTCTTTCCTGTAAAAAGAGGATAATAAAATAGCACTACTCCTAATTTATAGGATTACTTATACAGTTATTGTGATGAATATGTATAATTCACATAGAGGGCTTAATGTGGTTCTTGGCATACATTTATAAGTGCTCAAAAAAAAAACCCCTTTAGCTTTTCTTGTTACTTTATAGATTCACTTACATTTTTAATGTATCTTTGTACATATGGATAGACTGTCTACTACTAAATGTTTATTAAGCTATAATTTTAAATTTTGGGTAGAAAATCAGTAAGGGAGGGACCGAGGATTTAGCTCAGTGATGCCACAACTCTCTTGCAAACGCATGGTCCTGGTTCAGTCCCTGGTGCCAGAAAATCAGTAAGGACATGAAGTGTATTTTTATGAAGCTTATGATCTAATTTGAAAAACAAAGCACAAAGCTCTGAAACTTATAAAGAAAATGTAGTATCTATATATATATATATATATCTAATATGGTATTATTCAGTTTTAAAAGGAAAGAAAGTCTGACATCTGTCACATGATGGATAAACTTTAAAGACCGTCTAAATGCAATAATCCAGCTACAAAAGGACAAACATTGTATAATTCTACTTATGGAAGGTATCTAGAGAAGTCATTCATAGAGACAGATAGATGAAGGGCCTTTACCAGGGAATGGGGAGAGAAAGAAGTAGAAAGTTAGTGCTGCATAGATAAGAGTCTTAGCTTGAATAGATGAAAAGATGGATGAGGTAAATGTTATGCAAAAATGAATGTACTTAATGTCACTGAATTGTATATTTAAATAATTAAGGTGGTAAATTTTATATTAAATATCACAATGAAAAAAGATTTAAAATAAATCTAAGTTGTGTTGTTAGATTGTTGAATAATTAATATGGTTACAACAGTGTAGAAGATAAATTATCAAATATTATTTTATATTTTATGTATAAGTATATTTTTATAATTTTTTTTCAATAACACTTTCGTAAAAAATAAAGATGTAAAATTAAAATAGGGAAAAGTACATTCCTTTGAGCTACCAAGTTCCTTTTTAAATTTTATTTTCCATTTTTTAACAAGGTCTTTTTCCCAGAAACAACTCTATTATCAGTTACTTATGTATTCTACCAGATACCCTACCGGAACCATAGCCTCGTTACTATACACACTGTTGTGCAATTTGCTTCTTCCATGTAAGGATGTAACTTGGAAAGCACATTAAAAGCAACTCCATTCTTGGCTGGTGATCTAGCTCAGTGGTTCTGCCACGTGCCTTATAAGAACAAGGACATGAGTTTAATCCTAAGTACCAAAAAAAAAAAAAAAATGCAGCTACATTCTTTTTTTTTTAAACAGCTGTAAAGATATTACGAATATATTTTATCAGTCCCTTATCGAGGAGCTGGAACTGGTTTCTAGTCTCGCTATTACAAAAAAATGCTTTGACAATATTTGGAACATATGTCATTTGTGTAAGATAAATTTCTAGAGGTAAAGTCAGTCATTGGCTTTGTGAATGATTTAGACTCAGTGTCCAAAGAGATAGATTTCATGGAGGAGCTATTTGTATTTGTAACTTTAGCGAAGAAATTGCAAACATCCTTACATCTTCTTCTGTCATGCCCATTGGTTACTAAGTCTTGATGATTTTACCTCCCCAATGTCCTCCTCCAGTTTGTCCTCCAATCTCATTTCTCACAGTAGCAGCTCACTGTAGGCTTTCACAATTTCACATCTGAAGTATTGTACTCAAACTCATTCTTCTGAGAGAATAATCTACTCAGAATTTCCTGCTTCTTAATATAGTCAGGATTAGATCTAAGGTCCATATTTTAGCATACTAGATTCTCCTTAGTCTGGTCCCTGTACTTCTCTCCAGTAGACCCCTCTCATCATATAGTTTCACTTTCTTTGCTTTTATAATGTAGAACAGTCCATAGTTTCAGGCCTTCATGAATTTACTGTCTCCCTCCCAGCCTGGAACAAATCCATTCATTTCCCTAACTTTACCTCTGTGTCCCATGCACTCATCTTCCATAGTGATATCTATTTTCTACCAAAACCATTCCTGGGAAGCAGCCTGAAACCACAAGAGGGAACAGTCTTTTCTTCTCTATAGCTCTAGTGTCTAGCACAACCCTTGTCCTTGGATATATATATTCAATAAAGTTTATCAACTGAACTCAGCTAGATCTTGGGGAAAAGGAATAGAGCCATTCATTCACACATTAAAAGAAATGCTTATTGAGAGGCTATTAAATTCAAGGTTATGCCCTGGGATTACAGCCAAGAAGAAAATAACCCAGGGCCTACTTTTTGTGTATGGGACAACATAAGCACATAATTCTAGTTCAACTGGATTAAGGACTATAGTGGATCCCTGGACACAGTTGAGATTGTTTTCTGGGCATAGATAAGCAAAGAAAAGGGTAGCATTTTAATAAGAGGAATACTAGGAAAAATATTTGCCAAACAAGGTGATTGTCCTAAATAATGGTGATACTCAAGATGGGGCATAGAATACGTGATTACTAACTCCCATACATGGTCTGTTTCTTCTACTTTTTAAATTGGAGATATTCTTCTGGTAAACTGAAGGTCAAATAGTGTCTTGGATAAAGAAAAATAAGCTGAGATAATATAAGTAAAGCAAAGGTCTGAATTGGTATACTCCCCTCTCTGTTTGCTTCACTACGTTCTAAGCATTAAAAAAAAAAAAAAAAACCAGTTTCCTACCACCTGATTGGAGTTAAATGATTTATATTAACTTTAATCTACTAACAATTCTTTTTATATCCTTTTCTGCAAAAGTTTGAGAATGTTAGTGAAATGTAATACAGTAGAAACCAATTTAGCTCAGGGAGCAATCACTACTGCTAGAATAACTTCGAGCAAGTACTGTACTTAAACACTTAGGACCATGTTTTCTCTACTTGGAAAACAGACTTCAGCTGTAATTAATAACTGTGTTACCATTGTGATGGCCAGTGTCATGCAGATTATACCTCACTATTCTCTTGCTCTGTGGCTTTGTAATGGTAAGGCAAGGATAGGCTGATTGGGGCTGGCATTTTTGGTCTCTAGGTAGGTCTTATTTTCAGGGAAACACAGGTATCTCTTTTGTAAAGTAAGAATACTACTAATAAATTGTGATGTCTATGTAGTGTTAGCACAGTGTCCGACACATTATAAGAGCTCGGTAGAACTTAGCTGATAAGAGAGAGACTAAGAATCTGAGGACTTTTGGAATCTACGCTCGTCCTTACAACCAAAGGAACCCGAACTCGCGCTTCCAGATATGACACAATTTGATTCCTCCCGGCCACCGTAGCAGAGCATGCGTAGAAAAACGTGGCGAGACGTAAGTGTCATGGCGCGCTCCATTTAGTCTGCAGTTTCCGGCAAGCGGCGCGTTGATTTCTCTCTTTGGACGGGCTTTTTTTTTTTTTTTTTTTTTTTTTTTTTTTTTTTTTCTCTTCTCGGACTGCTGGGTAAGAGTGGCAAATGGGTCACTGTGGAGCAGAGTGCGGCCGGAACTCCTTTTTTGACAAAGCTTGTTTCTCTAGTTTTAGTATTTCTCTGGCCAATTGATCAATTGGTTTTCTCAGGCAAAAGGAGCCTTGCCAGGCGGGGTGAGGGAATTGGGATGCAGGTGGCCCTACCTGAAGAAAGGACAGGGTCCTTGGCGCAAGTGCTGCTGACCTGTTAAGAACTCTTTCCTGGTAGTCAAATTTAACCACATTTGTGTAAGTTACTGAATTTGTGGGACTTGACAAGACTTGAGAGATGTAGCTTTCACGTAGCAGAATATTTAATGAAGATTTAAACAGAAGTCGGGCAGAGTAGCAGCTGTCTCGCCTTTTCACTTTTTGTTTTCCTTTCCCCCAAAAAACCTTTCTGTGAATCTCGGGGCGACACGTCTCTTCTGGGGACAAAGTGACCTGGATACCTTGCTCATTCCGTTTCCCCTATTTTGTAGTTGTTAGTTACTTTCACTGGGCTGAGGCGTTGTGTTGGATAGCGTTTTCTTTTTACGAGAGCCCTACTCTGGCTGATAGTTGTGGCAGTATCAACTTGTCATAAGCTGTGAGAAGTTTGAAATAGTGTGGACCATTAGCTCTGTTGTATAAAGCAATTTTTATGAAGTCTAATTTCTTTTAGGTAGTTTTAAAGAGTCCTTACAGAGATTTCGTGAATGAATTGGGTGCTAGCATTTTCTAATCAGTTTTTATCTTCCAGACTCATCTTTCAAGAGGATTTGATATTCATGGTACTGATTTGTTTTAAACCTTTTATGTTTGAGTGATATTTTACAGCAGAAAAGTAACTGAATTTCTTAGAAACTTACTACAATCTTTTCATGAAATGCTGTGAATTGCATGACAGTAAATACAAGAGAATTTTTATTTAATCTTTTTTTTTTCAGTAGCACTGACCCTATGTTCACATAACATGCACTCTTCCCTTGCCATTTTTGGCTAATTTATTTTTTGCTTTGGTGACTGCTGCTTGATCTCCATTACAGGATAGTTTTCCTTGGAGTTCTCAAGACCTGGTTCTTTACCTTTTCTAATTTTACTTTATTTTTCTTTTTCTAGGTTATCTTTTGATTCTAGTCAACCTTGTGAGTGTCAAGTGTTATATTATTGTAGTTATGATTTGCCTTTCCCTCATGGGTAATGATCATCTTTTCGTTTCCTTATCAGCCTTTTTAATTTTTAAAATTTTATTTATTTTTTTGGTACTGGGGATTGAACTCAGGACCTTGTGCTTTCAAGGCAGGTGTGGTACCACTGAGCTAAATCCCTAGCCCAGTCTTTTTTTATATTCTCTTTGGCGATATATCTACTCAAATCCTTTGTCCATATTTTAATTTGGGTTGTTTGTATTGTTGAATCTTTATGTATTCTGATGTTAGGCCTTTTCAGACATGACTTAATATTTTATACCAAGTATAGGTTGTCTTTTTCATTTGATGTGATTGCAGCATGATATTTTAATTTTGATGAAGTCTGTGTGTTTTACTTTGTTGCTTGTGCTTTTGGTGTCGTAACTAAGAAATCAGCACCTACTCTAACGTCATGAAGATTTATACATGATGCTTAGTTTCATAGTGTTAGCTCTAATCAGTGATCATTAATGTTAATTTTTGTGTATGAGGTAAGTTAGGGCTCCAACTTAATTTTTTGTATGTGGCTATTCATTTTTCCAAGCACTATTTGTTGAAAAAACTGTTCTTTTCCCCACTGAATTATCTTGTATGCTTGTTAAAATCATGTGATATAGTAATGGATTTTTGACATGTATTCTAGATAGCTTTTAAGAAACAAGTCTAAGACAGTGATTCTCAAACTTTAATGTATAGCAAAATCACCTGGAAGCCTTGTTAAAGATTATTATGCTTTATTCAGAATGTCTGATTCAGAATATCTTAAGTGGGGGCTTAAGAATTTTCATTTCTAACTAGTTCCACATGATACGAGTCCTTGGAGCCACATTATCAAAAACACTAATTTAGGATTTTGGTTTACAACTGCAGCTACACGCATCAGAATTACGAGAAAGTTTTAAAAGATATTGATGCCCAGGCTGTATTTGTGGAGGTTGATTTATCTGGCTTGGTACTTAGCTGTTGGTAATTTTCTTTTTCTTTTTTTTTTATTTTATTGCAAGTGCTGGGGATTGAACTTGAGTTGATTAGTTTCAAAAGCTCCTCAGGTGACTAGAATGAGCACTCAAGATTAAGAACCATTGCTGTAGGGCAGTCGTACTCCTTTATTTTATTTTTTATTGTGTGTATTTTCAGACAGGGTCTTGCAGTGTAGCTCAGGTTGGCCTAGAGTTCATCTCAGCCTTCCAGTTTTGGATTATAGGCATGCATTACCTTCCTAGCGGAATCATGGTTCTTAATAGGGTGTTGGTATTGAATCAGAGATGTTGCTGTGTGATGGAACATAATATTGAAAGGAGGCCAAGGTTCTAATTCTAGCTTTGTGTACAAATCTTTTAGCATCTCTAGACTTTATAAATACAGAGCTCAGCAATGTTCTCTGACTCTCTAACAGTGTGGTATGGCTGCTGTAGTGGACTCTTTTCATCCTTTTTTTTTGTATTCTGTTTTCTTTTGGTGAATCTATAGACAGCTGTGTATGGAACATACAACTTGTGTCATTAGAAATAAACACTTTTAATATTCAATTTGTTATCCTTCAGTAGTTTTTAGTAACACTTAAAGGCACTCACTACCTGATCTTAACCTTTCTCACTTAATTATTTAATAAACTAATAGTGATAGAAGGAATCCAGAGGATTAGGTTATTACTTCCAATATAAGAGTTTCCTCCTTTGTTGTAGACTAGGTAAGTACATCTTAAACATTATATTTATTCATTTAATATTGTATGCCTGCTGTGTGCTGGGAATTGTTGATGTGTTATAGAGATAATGGTGTAAAAGAAATGATACCTTTGTCCTCATGGAGCTTGTGTGGAAATAAGAAACATGCAGTCATGTATATGGAGTCAGGTGGGTAAGTGTGTAGAAAAACAAAGCATCAAGCTGGGTTAATGAGTGTGTGGACATGCTTGAGCAATGTTATTTTAGATAATATGGCTAGGAAAGGCCTTTTAAGCAGGTGTCATTTGAGTAGAGAAGTGGGCAGCAAGCCATCCAAATATTTGGGGTGCTGATAGTCCAGAGGAGGAAGAGCAAGCGTGAAGCGTGTGGAGTCAGTGGCTTTCTCAGACTATGTCAAAGGTTACCATAGTAAAGTGGTCCTGTTGGAATAGTGGGAGACGGAGTAGGGAGGTAAGCAGGCCCATATGTTGTTAGGCTGTGCAGTCTGCAGTAAAAACGGTATTTATTGAGACCCTGCAAGGGTTCTAGTCACCTGGGGAAAAACAGTGAAGTGCACAAAAAACTTTCTCCTCATGGGGTATACATTCTAGAAGAGACTGTAAAAACAAAATCTGCTAAGCAGGTGATGCAGTGCTGTGATATAATAACACAAAGCAGAGGGGCTGGGGATGTAGCTCAGTGATAAAGCACTTGCCTAGCACATGAGGCCCTGGTGCAGTTCCCAGCAGTGTAAAAACAAAACCAAGGCAGGAGGGAGAGAGAGAAAGACAGAGAGAGAAAGACGAGAGAGAGAGAGAGAGAGAGAGAGAGAGAGAGAGAGAGAGAGAGAGATTGGTGATACTTGAGCCAAGTTCTGAAGGGCTTTAGTGAGTGAACTATCCAGACATTCTGAGTAAAAGAATAACAGGCAAAGGTCAGACCTGGTGGGTGTGAACTGGCCAGAAAACCCATCTGGCTGAGAGGAGTGAGAGGAGAGACTGGTAAGAAATGTGGTCAGAAATAACAGGCTGGTTGTGTATGTCCTTGCAGATCTTTGTATTTGTTGTGCCTTTTACTCAGATGAAATACCAGTGGAAAGGTTTTCTCAGAAGCTTGAGGTGAACTTAGAAAGCCTGGGTATTGTAATATTCCAGTGAAGAGTTAATGGCTTTGAAGGTAAATTCAACAGGATTTTCTTGGTGGATGGACTTAGGATGAAGGAAGGAAAAGAATTGGGAATGATTCCAGGATTTTTGGTCCATATATATAGACTATATATATATATAGCATATAACCATATGTTATAAGGTTGCCTTTAAAAGAAATGGTGAAAGTTGTTAGAAGATCTGTTGATGTAGGGAGAGGAGTTCTGTTTTTGACTTTTAGAGTTTGAAATAATTATTAGACATTCAAGTGAGGATGTTTGATAGGCATTTGGACTCGAGGGTGAAATTCAGAAGACTGGGACTGTAAGGATATAGTTGATATATCAAGGCCATGGGCCTGGATGAGATCACTAAGGGAGTGCTCGTAACTAGAGAAGAGTCCCTGTTCTGGAGCCATGCGGCCGTTCCTATGTTGAGAAGTTGGAGAGATGAGGAAGGAGCTGAGGAGGCTTAGGAGTGCCTAATGTGGCAGAGGAGGATGAGTGGAGTGTGGCATCCTGGAAGAGCCAGCAAAACCTTAGGGAGAGAATGGTCAATGGTATCAAATGTTGCAAATCTTATCACCTAAGGCAGGGTGGCGAACCTATGACATGTGTTCTGCAGCAGGGCTGTTTGTTATCAAAATCTCTAAAAGATTTGCCATCACTGACCTAAGGAGGCTGAGAATTGGTCATGGTATACTTCATCAGAAGTCACTGAAATCATGACAGGCAGTTTTGGGGAGTGTGTGTGGGAGTGAGAGTCTGTTTCATAAGGGAATTAGGAATGCGAAATGGAAACTGTAAATATAGATCACTCAAGCTTTTTTTTAAAGGAGAGAAATGTGGTAGAGCTAAGAGGAGGAAATGGAGTCAAGAGAGTTAAATTAAAAAAAAAATTTTGTCTCTTAAATGGGAGAAATAACAATGTTTTTTCCCAGATAGTGATGATTCAGTAGGGAGACATTAGTGATGATACAGGAAGAGGGAGTATTGCTGAAATTTTGTGCTTTAATTGGTTGGAGTAGAGTTGCTATTAGAGAAGCCGTCAGTTCATTCACAGTAACAGATTGGAAGGCAGAGTGCATTTCCCAGTAAAAGAAGGAAGCCATCCATCTGTGCAAAATGTGAGAGGGGCTGTGGGTCTGCCTCAGTTCAGGCCTTCTGCTTTCAGTCACATGTTCACTTTTTTTTTTTTCCGGTACCGGGGATCGAACTTGGGGCCTTGTGCTTGTGAGGCAGGCAGTGGAACCACTGAGCCAAATG